TTGCTTAATTTAGTATTCTTGGTTGTCGTACAATTCAGTTTAGTTGAAAGAATTATGGTATACTTGAGTATAGTGCTTGAAGCCTGTGACGAAACAGATCAGTCTAGTAAGTAGAGTTGCCTGTTTCTGATGAGTATACTGATTCAAATCAGTCTGATTAAAAAGAGGAAAAAAGTACTTTTGGTACTGTTGCTGTCATACATTATAAGATAACGATAAGTATGTTTGGTGTTTATTTCTAGATTGTACATCTATCACTGACCATATTTCATGATCACTGTCATTAAACAATTTCCCCAGCAATAACATCGGTAGCAGGATAGCTAAGTGTGTGAGCTTTTATTTAACCGCGGAAGAGCAGTATACAGTCTTAGAAGATGAGTGTTCTGTATCACAATTAAATGCAGTTGGCTGTGGACAAATGTTAAGAATCTTTTTGACAACTGGGACTTTTAGTTTATCAGATACTAACTCTGTTTGTATGTCTTCCTGTTAAACTAGACGCAGATGCATGGAAATACTTAAATGGGAGCAAAATAACAAAAACATTGCGATACGGTACTAAGCCCATGTTATGCTTTGCATAAGTAATAGTAGCTGACCTTATCTAGTATTCATGAACTCAAAGTAAATCGCAACTGCATAAATTCTTTGCTGAAAAACATGTAATTTGTTCATTTATCTATTCCACATTTCTGACTAACTTCATCACTATTTTTTCATTTAGAATGCAACAGGACAGATCCTAAGAACTGTTTCGCCCTTAGAACTATGGCCCTATGGAACTGTTTACGGGAGACCCAACTAACAGCAGATTATAAAAAGGATGCTGAATGTCCATTTTAGTCTCACAACCACTTCCACTATTTTTTGACTTACTTCTTTTACTCTTTCGTTTGGAAAAAAATCAACAAAAACTGCAGCTCAACATTACCAACACAATTTGTAAACGGAAACTTGGTTTAAACCTTTGTTTGATATTCGATTCCTAATAAAAGTTCTTGAATAAATTTTTAATCTAATGCTACTTTGTTTTCTCTACTTCATCGTTGCAAGAAACTTGTGATAAGCGAGCCTCTCAGCACCTAGTTCATGTCTTCAAATGGTTGTGGACTGAGTAGATGTTTTCGCTCAACAGGCTTCCGTGTCTAGTAGAAGGTTATCACCAAAACCTCCAGACAGGAACCTATGTTAACAATAAAAGAGGAATAACAAATTGGTAAATCATAGTATGATACTGTCGTCAATCCTCAAGAATATATCTAGTTGCCTCTTAAAAGACTCCTAGGGAGTCGCTTGGACTAGCTCGGCGGGTAGCGAATTCCAGCACCTGACAACTCCTGAGGAATAGAAGTTGCGTCTACAGTCTGTTCTGCTATGTTGCGTTTCTAGTTTCTGGGTGTTACACCTTAGGTTAGTGTTGGGACTAAGCTTTAGTAAGTTCCTAAGAGAATGTCCAGAAGTCTTAAGGATACTGTAAGACATCAGGTCACCTCTAAGACTCCTATACTCGAATGGGTAGAGGTTAAGTGATTGGAGGCGTTCTTCATAAGTTGATTTGGTGCATATCTTCGTCATTCTCTTGGGAAACCTACAGACTCGGGTCCTTTCACAACTTATTCCAGCCACCATGAGTTGCCATGGCTTCTGATGGATGGACACGCGTTACACATCTTAACCGTCTAATCTCATGACTTTACCGACACTAATGAGACACGAGTAACTCAAAGGCACCCTGTATGGTATCTTACATCGGTATACGCACTCACCTGGCTCTTTAGTGAGAATATTACTACAGTCCTGCTAAAAATCCCATAAACCCCCTATCTCCATAAAAAAAGTATATATTTGCTGCATATACCAATTTTATTTTTTAAAAGTAAGATACAACAGTTAGAATTGGAGTGAAATGGCAATATACAGTAGTTGCACGTGATACATGTCTTCATCGAATAACTGAAATAAAAAATACGAATATTAGCTTAACAGGCTTATTTAGAAAGACTAGTGTCTACTCTGAAATTACTGCGTGAGAAAGTTATACTGGAACTACGAATAATGTAGGAATCTAGTCTCACAGGGCGTACGAAGCAATCAAACTGGAAGGCAGTTGTCCAAAAAAATTCGAATATGAAGGTCAGAATTTCCAGGTATTTTTCATCGTAAGGGTGAAAATATTGATGTCATACAGTAAAAAAACACAGATTTGCGAGTGGTGAAGTATGATCTATAAAAAAGTGAGCTTAATAACAGTTAATTACCTTTTTATTCCCTGATCATGACCCTTCGGCTTCCTTTTATGGCCGAAACAGAAAACATACACTATACACTGATAGCAGATTTCCGGCTTTTCAATGTTAGTTTTCAGTCTTTAGTAATAAGGATAGTAGGTTGGTGAACCTGTATTAATCCTGACACATTGCATTTCAGTGAAGGTCCAGCTTCTCCATGAAAGTATTCACTGATGGGGCTGATACCACTTGTTCGGGTAAGGCTTGCTTTAACGCACTACGTAATGAGTAAAACCCCTCTATTACTGCTATATGACATATTTTTAATAAAATAACCCTATATTGGTAGTATCTGTGTCTTCGTCTATGGTTATCGGAAGTCTGAGTTCTTTCGAAAACAATACTAGTATCCCATACTGCTGGGCAATCAGTATTAGTTTGACTCGTTAGCGGGATAGTGTTGTCCATAATACTGAAGAAAATTACAAACCGGGGATTATTTCCTTTCATTTTGCCGATAACATCATAAAGGACAGTTAGGAATGAACATGCAGACAGTTAGTCACAGGAGGCAGCAACAGTTATTTCAGCTAAGGAAAAAACGAACTTCGGCTTTGGATATCTAGATAACAAGTCAAAACAAAACCGATTTCCATATTAAAACATAAGACTAACCAGCTTGAATGAAGAAAAATATTGACTGGAGTAGAAGCAACAAAAACCCAAAAAACAATGCTGATTTGAAGTAAGTTTCACACCAACATGTAGAACATTACACTAACTGCGGCATTTTATCAGACCGAAACATTAAATTACATAGCTACATAAAAGAAGTAACTGAAAGAAGCAGAGAACGAAGAAAGCCTACCGCCATTACTTACAAAGATGGCGGATGTATCAATTCCCGCCTCATTCTGATTGGTTGCTAGACTGCAGGGCACATTTACGAAATTGAGTTGCGTTTAACTGCAGCCGTTGGACAGGATATTCAAACTTCCCAAAGTCAAGTCACTGACGTTTACTTGGCTTACTCGGTGGGAGAATTCTAAGAACTAAGATCATCCAAGACTCCTTTGAGTGACGCTCACCAACCCTGTTGATGTAGATGAAGTTCAGATGACCAATCACCTTCTGAAATCAGAAGGGGACTTAAGAATACTGCCTGACATACCACATTTTGAGCGCAATCTCATCAAGAACATCCCTGAAGAATCTCGCGAGACTTTCGTTCGCGGAAGAAATATCACTGTGCAACGTGTCCTAGATAATACAGATTATGATATTATAGAGTGGAAATTCAAAAAGAATTTCTTCAAGCTCAAAATCATATTGACCGAACAAGTGGTGCGATTAGCCAAAAAGAAGACACATTCTGAGCACCGGCTAATAAAAATAAACTTCACATCCTTTCAAATGGCAACAGACACTTTCTAAGTATTTCATGCCAACAGATATTGGTTACCAACTGGAATCCATATGCACCCAGACAGGCCAAACGATGCAAGGATCAAGCGGAAGAGCGAATTTTAACTAACCATTCCACTTGTGAACTTTCAGAATCAAGAAGATGTAGGAGGAACAGGGTTAATTAACCTGGAAAATGCATTGTAGGTCGGTTGCCTGGTCGTTCACAAAATGCTCCTTTAGTCAAGCATGACTAAAAAGTTCACTCGTTTTAAATGGGAGGCACTAATCAATACACAAAGGTAATAAAAGAGGACGGGCTTGATTATCAGATCTAGCTAATTGGTAAAATCTTCCTCAATCCGAAAAGCCTATTCCGTTATTCAGCCTCTCTTCGATAAGCCAAAACCAAATTTTCTTAGTCTTTAGGCCTCACTACCCCAAACAACAACGATGATGACGCCACTGAGCTTCTGAAATAACAGTATTTTCAAAAGTTTCAACTACCCCATAACAACGGCATTGAATCTAGTTTCACCTTCAACTCAACAGGACTCCCAGAAGTGAACCTGAGCACCGACTTGGTGTACCGGGAACTGCAGCACCCAGTGTGATTTTTTCGCAATCGTTTTCCTGGGACATGTTATCAGAAAATCAGAAGCTGTCTCGGGTAGCAACGGTTTCCAACGGGGATTTACCGAGCGAATCTTATGGCCACCGTCCAGTAGCACTTCTCACGATACCCTCAAATATAATAAAGGCCCTGATATGCGACAGTTTACGTGACCACTTATTATTCATCTAACTTCTTTTCATACCGACATCATAGTTTTACGAGAAGCAACCTGCTGATGGCGGTGGACAAATTGACAACCATCCCTAATAGGGTCAGTAAGATAGAATAAACAGACACGAAGCCACCATTATTTGGTCGGCTTACTTTGTCTCTAAATAATTGAATTTTTGGGGTCAGGGTAAACTTCACTTTTTCTAAGGCAGTAACATGTCCTAGTAGGGGAAACTTGACATATTCTTGAGGATTAAGTACAGTTTCTGACTGTAATTTACTAATTCTTTTTTTCTCATTTAATACAACTAGGTTCTTACTTGTAGATATCGGCGATCCACTACTACTAGATGCGGGAGTCCGTTAAGCGAAAGCTTCTTATATTCCGTCAAGAACTATTTGAACCTGTAGATCGCTAACGCAGATGATCTGTGTTGTGTAACTGGGGGCTTACATGAGTTAGACGGGAATTGTGTGACTAACCAGACAACGTTCAAGTCACACACGTGGATTACCCTTTCTTCGTATCCAGGTACTATGGCTGTTTTGATGAATGTACAACTCAAACGACGTTGTTACACAAACGTACTAGTAAGAGTAGGTACAAGGAACAAAGTGCCGCAACGGCTACATGAGCCAGTCCATGGAGTGCAATCAACTGATGTATTTTGGTTGTCCTTGACACTGAAGAAGATCGGTTAACTGATCGACATTCAGGGACCCGACTGCCGGATGAGTTCAGTGACATTTCACTGACCCAACAAACTTTTGAGCGTACCATTACGTTAGCTATTGAAGCCTGGTCGTATTATTAAAATCAAATTTTTCAGGGTATATGTTTACCTAACAAATGATATTTCCCATAACTTTTCTGTATTTATTTGATCTGTCGCATTTTGGTGAACGGAGTATCTGAAGTGTAAAACAGACAATGCAACGTAAGGCGCTAAAATACGGTTGTATATTTTTGTCAGTGAATGTTGATTTCTGTTCAACAGATGATGAAAAAGGTGGGTCTTTCTACATATTAGTCACTAATTGTAAAAGTTTGGTGAAAATTCAATTAGAAACGAAGGATGGCATATCCAGGTTTCTGGTCGTTTCTGTTTTCTTTGTTAGACAGTAAGAATGTTTGAAGATTTCGTCATGTTTTAGCAGTGTCGATTCAAAATACTAAATTTACTGTGCAACGTGATCCTTCCACTACTACAGTTTCTTCGGAAATCACTAATCTTAGTCAAAAACCGCGTAACAGATATGAGATTCTCCTTTCAACTGAATGTATCGCCATACAGTCCATAATAAACATCACGGTGGAAGATGAGGTTTGTTAACAAAGAATTTTTTGTCTGAGCAAGTCATAATGTATATGTATCTTACCAAAAATATAGTTTTCGATGCAATTTTTTCTACCTAGTACTACCCCCAACTTGAATAACGTTTTTATGGGGCTGATTGTTTGGTATTGATTACATATTGATAACATAATGCAGTATGCAACCAAAAGCGTAGTATGAACACTTCTGTTGATTCTAAAACATCTTACCGTAATCATGTCACTTCTATCTAAAACAAACCGGTAACTCAACGAGTTTAGATCATGTTAGAGGTAAGGATTTGTAAATAAAATAGTGCTTAGTGTATAGATCCTCAGTCTTTTTTTAAACTCTATGTAGGTAAATGCAGACAAATTAGTCACTTCAGTCCAAAATATTTTACTCCGAAGTTGTGATAGTAGTGATGTACCACATATATATCTTTAGAGTTGATTAACATCTTGTAATTAGCATAGGTGATTTGAATCGCTGAAAAATTCCTATCATATTAAAACAGTTATATGAGCGAAGAATACCCTTTTCAATAATTTATCATCGGGTTCTACAATTATAATTATAATTAATAATGCATAAGATTGGCCAGGTTTATGGCAAAATACCTCATTTAAAAAATGTAACATGAATTAAAGGTTGTTTGTCATATGAAATAAGACCAAATGGTTAATGTTGGGGTGACTAATACGAAGTGTTAACTTAGATAAGCTCATATGTTAAATGGAGTTGCGAGATAAATGACCATATTTATTCTGATCAGGATCTCTAATTAACTGTCTTCAGCTCTCCTTTCTAGTTGCTGCCAAGTACTATTTTGTGGTCTTAACGTCTGCCTTCAATGTTCATAGCCACACATTCCTCTTTCCTTTCTTCCTTTTCCCTTGAGCATTCCAAGTTAGAGCTTGCTTCGAAATGCATTTTGATTATTTGAATATGGTGTATCCTGTCCACCTTCAGAGTCTGTTCCTCAGCTGGGAGATGCTTTGTTCTCTGCTGTATTCTACTAATGTTGGTGGTCTCCGGCCAATACACCTAGAATACTTTGAATAGGCAGCTTTTTATTAGATACCTGAACGCTTTTGATAATGTCTGGTAGTTTGCCTGCTTATATTAATAAAGTTTCCCATCCCCTTCAGGGCTTTATCATTAAGTGTATTTTTGCTGATGCTAATGTAGCAGAACTTCGAAATCTTACTTTCCCTCTTGTAAATGTTGAGGAAACTGCCTCAGAGGCTTTTGTTAAGCTCGCTATCTTTTCCTGCATTCGTTGCTCCCATTCGTAGCCCCCAAATGCCCTGGTATGGCCGAGAGTGGGGAGAGTCCGCTCTCCCTCTCGAAATGCTCTCACATGGCCACGCGTATATAGCCTCTGCCAGGGAAGTCCTACTCACTGCCTTCCCGTGGCAGGGGTGTTGTTTACAAAAATGAGAGGACAAAAAGCGAATGTCCGGCTCTTTAACCGGATTCCAAACTGATGGTGCACATGGGCTCCAGTATCCTGAGGGAACAAATGGCGTATGAACCAATTTTCGGTCACCGGCTTCCATGGGACTGCATCTCCTTACGATGCTCCACTGCCTTGTGGATCAGACCTTCAGGTCGAAGGCTCGGGGTGTGGCCCTCTAAGAAAACCACCTGTTTCGGTCTGGGCACCCGGGCAGTATCACAGCCCTCACACATATCAAATGTGACTTGTGTGGCGCATATGTATTTGGTACCTCCATGTACCAATATCTATGTGTTAAAATAAATGAATTTTGTGTATGGGATAGAAGAGCTAGATCGTCTGCGAAGTCCAAATTCTTTAGCTGTACCAAAGTATACGCTGTACTCCATAATTTTCCTGAGATGTAAATGTCTTTATAATCCAGTTAGCATCAGAAAAAAAAAGACGAGAGTAGACAGACTTGTCTTACACCAGTGTTCTCTCGGAATGCATCTGTGAGCTTCCTCTCATGTACGATATTGCGATCCAGTCTCTCGTGGAAGTTCCGTATGATGGTGACGATTTTCTCAGATACTCCAGTGTCAAAAAAGATTCCATGATGTTCTATCCAAACTGTTGAATGTTTTCTCATTATCAAGGAGTATATGGATAAGTTCCACTCAATCGATTGCTCAATGATGAACCATGGTGTCGCAATTCGATCTGTACAGGATCGACCCTTACAAAAGCCAGCTTGTTGATCTCAAAGTCTGGAGTGTAATCAATCTTTCATTTGGTTCATCAACACTCGGTTGAAAAGTTTTTCTTGTACTGATAGATATATGACCCCTCCGCAGTTCTCACATGTACAAGGATCTCCTTTATTCGGTATCTTTCTAGTCTATAAGTATTTTTCACTCATCCCAAATCTTTCTGAAGAGAACTGTGCATCTTTGCAGGTACCATTATATTTGACTTCACTGCTTCAGCTAATATGCTCTCTGGTCCCATTGCTTTCTCACTCTTGACCACACTGATTTCTTTTGTTGATGGGGTAGGGAGGTCTATATGCATTGCTTTGATATTCGATGGAGCTGGTCTGTTTAAGAGCTATTCAAATTACTCTATCCATTTGTTTCGCTGCTCTTGAACCTCAATGGCTTGGTTATTTTCTTTGTTCTTAAATGGTCTCTTTGGTCTACTACATTTTCGTGTTAGCTTCTTGGTTGTATCATATAGTTCTATACTTTTTATCTCATCCCTTTTTCTATCATAGTTGCCAGGTCTTCCACACATTATCGCTTGTCAGCTCTAATGCACTTCTTTACTTATTTGTTTGCTGATGTATAGTTATCCAACGTCTTGGTTTCCTCTGCTTCTGTTTGGCTTCTAGTTTTTTTTCTTGAATCTTGCCTAGGCTATCGACAGAGATCCACTTTTCATCCTGTTGCCTCTTAACACTAATTACCTGGTATGTTGAGTTTATGCTTTTTAATCCCATTCTACTTGCTTCCCTCCTAACAGAACCTGTAAGACTTGGAACTTGTTGCTGAGAACGATCTTAAATTCTCTGAGTTCCCTAGCACCTTAATTAATTTATTTATTTGAACACATAAATATTGGTACAAGAGAGCGCCAATATATATGCGCCACACAAAACAATGAAAATTCGAAGAGAGATAGAAAAAAAACTAAGGGGCACAAAAGAAAAAGAGAACGATAACGAAGAGATTGGTGTAAGGTAGTGTGGTAGTAACGATGGAACGGAAAGGTACAATCAGAAGAAATCTTTCAGTTAAGGGAGACACAACCACATTTTATGAAAAAAGTAAAAGGTTACAGCAGGATCGCCACTGGCTTCTATTCTGAGCCATATCTGATAACGTCTCTAGCCACTGTGTAGCACCATCTCTCAGACCCCAACCAGGGAGTCGTGAAGGACCGACAGAAGCCAGTCCTTTGCAGCTTTCTTTCATACCACGACACCATGTCATGCACTGACCACCTCTCCGCTTTTTCCAACCAGTCCCAGAGTCGGTAAATAATGCACGACGTGGAATTCTCTGGGACGACATTCGTAGAACATGTCCAAGCCACCGATGTCGGTGTTTCAAGATGGTGACACCAATTGAATTATCATCTCTGTGCCCAAACACGCGATGCCGAACCTCTGCATTACTGAAATGGTGTTGCCACTGAATGTCAGCAATCCTTTGGAGACAGCGATGATCGAACACAGAGAGTCGTCTAACGTCCTCAACTCGGAGAGGCCAGGTTTCACAAGCATAGAGCAAAACTGCTCTCACCGACGCGTTGTAGATCCAACCTTTTACAGCCAGACTAACATCACGAAGGCCCCAAAGATGGCCCAGATTGGCATAAGCCACTCTGGCTTTCACTATACGTGCATTGATCTCATCACTCACACCCCCACCAGCACTTATGCAGCTACCCAGATACACGAACTTCTCGACTACGTCTATCTGCTCACCATCCAGGGTGAGTACATGATTGGAATCCTGCCAGTCTTGTAGAAGTACTTTGCACTTCGAAGGTGCAAAGCACATACCATACCTACGGACACTGATTGCCAACTGATTAAGTGCGGATTGCATGCCTTGGGCATTATCGCACAGTAAGACAATATCGTCCGCATACTCAAGGTCAAGAGGTCTTTCTCCAGGCAACAGATCCACACCACCATTACTTACATTCATCAGAGCTGTTTCCAAAATGTCATCGATGGCACCTTAAATGAAGGCTCAAATCAAACTTTTGATTTTCCATACTGTAATCCGATGAATTCTACGTAGCTTTGTCTTTGCACTTGCGTTGAAAATTCTACCACTTATAGCCATGCTACTTACAGCAAACGCACCTACCAGTCTTGTTGCTTTTTCGCAGCCATGTTGCTCCTTAATGTGTTCATACCTATTGTTTCCTGCCCAGACTTTGTCACTTAGGTTCCTCAAAAGAATGATCAGGTATTTTCTTGGGCACTTCTCTAGAATGAATTGTATCCTCATAAAACGGGTCTTTATCATCTTTGTTGCCATCATTGGTAGGCATGAAGCACTATATGACATTTATTGTAATCCATTTCTCCCTTGTTTTGAAGAATTATTTAACGATCTTGTAGCCGTGTGTTTCCCATTTTTAAAGCGTCTTTGGCGCTTTATTGGATTTCATTAGTGTAACTCCTTATATGTGGATTTTCACCTTCATGATCAGAGTACATTTTTCCTATAGTTCGTCTTTTATGTCTAAATTGTGTCGAATGAGCTTAGCTCACTTCAAGCACGGCTAGCTTGCATCTTATCATTTATTTTACTATCCATCCGTGTCTCCCATACGGTCCGGACATTCCACTTATCGTTATTAACTGTCGTTCGGTTTGCCCGAAGCGATGAGGTTGTTAACCGTACACTCAGTTCTCTTCCTTTACTCAGGCCAAACTTATGACAGTCTAATTCCAAGCTGACTTTTTCTGTGAAATTATCAATCTTCCACTTTTCCCCTATTATCATAGCAAATTAGTTTTGTGCCACATTTTCTGTTTACTTAAGTTTGCAAAACAATTAGAATGAAAACTTAAAAGAGAATGTATTAGATTTTCATTTCTACAAAACTACCTCATATATTACTACCAAATCACAATTTTACCGGGTGATATTTGCTTAAGTACCACGTACACTAGATATTCAAAAGTTTAAAGTAACATAAGTGTTTTGAGTGTTCATTCTTATTAAAATAGCTTCTCCTCAAAACTTAAAGCACCAAATTAATTGTTTTGTCACTCATTTTAGATTTACTGTAATTCATCTCAAAAGTAAATAACGAAAATAAAGTTGTTTTTATTGTTTTATAAAAGATAAAAATACGGATAAATTGTTTTCATGGTGAATTTCACAGAACATTGAACTCTTTATATCATTGGCTTTTTCCTTATGTTTTGTGTTACAGAGAATATCTATATCTCTGTAAAGTGCCTTTACAAAAACTATTTTTAAAGTGATGTAAGAATTCAATTTTTAATACTAAGATTACTAAAGTCTCTGAGGATTTATTCATTGGGACATCAAACCTCCAAATAATAATTCATAAATTTAAACTGAATCCAACAGTTCTCTCCTACACTCTGTTACTGCATATAATTAGTAAACCAAATCTATTCGGTGTTTACTTGTAAATTTTTGGTGGGGATAAGAATTTTTTTGCATTTTCATAGTGAACCTTCTAACTCTCCCCGAATAAGCATAAGCAATCAGCACATCACAAAATGTAAAGACATACTATTACAAAAATATATAAATATATCATCTTGAGTGTTGTAGCATATCTTAACTTGTTCATATTTAATTCGATTCAGAATGGATTTTATTATGCCGTTGTTGATATTGTGACTGAAATATGATCAGTCTTGGTTGGGATATGTGCATCCTGTGCGAATTGCTTCTATATAGCCATTGTAACAAGAAATTAAATTTTAGTCGAAATATTAACAACGAGGTAGTCCAATCCAATCCGAATTGGATTCAAACTCGTAACCGTTGCACAAGTGAGTAACTATCCTGACTCGGTGGTTAGGTGGATAACACAATGGTGTTTAAAGCGAATAGTGCTGGGTTCGGGCTCTGAAGTGTACGTCAGCTCGGGGATCCATGTTTATTCAGATGATGAGTCCCAAATAGGATAAGACGTGCGTCCTGGATCTGATTGTTAGCCTCATCCTATCCATTTTTATAGTATTCATGTTCAGGCTTTATCGTTTCTGTGTCGTAATGTGAATATTGTTCACTGAACGGATCAGCCTAAAAAATAACGAAATGTAATTCATTTGAGCCGTCCTTTATTTTTCTTTCATTTTATGAAGGAAAATAACATAAGTTCAACTATGTATCTCAATAGAACCTTGCAAAATAAGATCATTGTGAATGGCACATGTGAACAGAAAAGACAGGATTTGACAGTTTCATGGTCGCCAAATGTCGATTTCTTAGACTGGAAACTTATATTTGTGTTTGGAGAGGATTCTGAAAGATATGACCTGGAAAGCATAGGTATTACTTATACAACTGATAAAGGTAATTAACACTTTGAAAAAAGTAAAGCCACTTTAAATAACTTTAGTTGTGTTTTTTTCTCTTCCCTTGAAGACAAATTCAATCAAACATTACATTAAAAAAATATATTTAAACTTAGGAATGCCAATAACAATATAAGTGTTGTAGCTGTTGAACGAATAATTGTTTATCTTATTTGCTAAAGATGATTACGTAGGCAATGTGTTGAAGTCGAAATAATGTGTAACTAGTTACTAACTATTTAATTCTAAATTTTTCATTAATGTTAATATACATACTTCATGTTTTGTTCGTTCATCATGCTAACACCGCCCCTATTAGAAATGAAATGAGTTTAATCATTTCAAATGCAATTTTATTATACAGGCAATGAAATTGATGCTAATACAGATAGAGGTTTGTTCACTATTCCTGTCGGTGGATACTATGAATGTGCCAACCATTTACATAGAGAACTATTCGTGGAAGATAATGATGATATAAAAATCAATATTTATTTTTTAAACTCATCAATGGAAGCATTCAGACTTGAAAATCGTTCAGAATTTATGGGTCTTGGTGAGTGTTTTAATATAAAGTTGTTGTAAGAGACCATTTAACTATGAAGTAAAAACTTCCGAAGGTATTTTTCTACAGTTATATTGGTCGCATGTTTATTAAGTATTTTGGTAGTATCATTTTCGTATTACCCTTGTTCCAAGCTTTTATTTCAACAATAGAGTGGTGCTATAGAGTTTTCAAAACGTTGCATAGAATCGATTATCTGTGTACACGGTACTCCATTTTCCCCATCATTAAGGTTGTTGTTCCGTGATCTGGTTTTGTATGCATATAAATGAATGTCTGAAATATTATAACGATCTTGTACTGGTGATCATTGCTCTTGTGTTCTTCCTCTTCGTTCGCAGCCAGTTAGTATTGAACCAACCGTCAAGCATAGTGTCAGTCTCCCTCCTCCTTGCTGCGTATTGGTTGCTTAAGATCGTCTACGCTTATTGGTCGGCTGTAAGACTTAACAAAAGCATCTGAAAATATTCCACTAAATGACTTTTCTTTTAAAAACTAAATTTTTTTTAAGCAACTAAATATTTTTCTTACTAAAGTTTTATTATTATTATAAATAACATGTATTCGTTTCACAGACACTAACATCTAATTAAAGTTGTATTAAACGTGCCAGAGTTGTCCTTTAATGTTGGGATAGTAGCATAGTTGTTGTAAATCTTACTGGGAATTCTGTGGTTACACAGGTGTACAACTAGATAATAAGTTCAATATTTTAATATAATGACATTCATTTGTTTAATAAAAACATTTTTATCATGACGTGGGATATACAAACCTCGGAAACTTAGTTTCCCATAAATTGATACTATTATTTTATCACTATAAATGCTACCTAATATCTATAAAAAAGTTCGGTTTTCTTCATTATTCATTTAGTTTATCAAAGAGAACAGAAAGTTCTCGTCGAAATCATAAAGAAGTAAACTAAATCAAAACGGTTCTCGGAAATGCAAAGTGAAACAAAAAAATAACAGGAAGTCTGGACTGATTTTAATTCTGATCATTAATGTATCAAACTGATTTTCACATTCCTTCAAGTTCTATATCACATACATATGCGATCTTATTAAGTATGTTTTCACTAGTTCCAACTAGATCTGTTATGAAGTCGGACTGTATTGTTAGTCGTACTAATTTTCCATTTAATATAGATCATTATTTAGAAATTCGATAATTTACCAATCTGATTTTATTAGATACGAACTAGAAAAAATCCCGAATAAAATACTCGGTATGTTTTATGACATTATCTACTATTGAACCATCATATTAGAAATAATATAAGCTATGATATATGGAATGTTTCTGCGTAACAATAGAAAATTCTGATGGTACTATGTTCGCTGAGCTGAATGGTTTAACTGTAAAGCTTTCAGTTTCAATAACATCTTCAACTTTCAAATAAGCTTGAATTAACCCCCAGTGATTTTGTCCAGATAGATAATGGAACCCTTACAATTAAATGATCGACGCTCATAGGACACGATATCACCAAATTATTTCGAAATAATTATTTATAGATTGTCTAATTTCTAATATTTTTATACATTTTTAGCTATAGACTGTCCATTGAGTATCATATGGTTAAAGAAGGTTCCAACAATTGTATGCATCACTCTACTTCTAATAGGTCTTGCTATTCTTTCAATATATTTGTGCAATCGTCTTAGCAAACGATCAGCATATGAGACAATTAGATAATTATATATATCTTATAATATATTTCAATAAAATGCTTTTACACAAATCATAAATAGTTCTAGTTTGAGATTTGTTTATTATTTTCTGTATCTCGTTCTTGATATTTTTGTATAATCAAGTATAATTAATTATCATCTTTTCCTTACATTTATGAAATAGATTATTTCTTTATTACTTTATGAAAAAAATAGCATATATATTATTACGCTTGTTGTGTAATAAAGCCAGGAAAATAAACTATGTACCTATACACCGATGATAAAAAATTTGGGAACTTATCTATATTTTGTTTTTCTTTATGATAATGCCTATTGTTCGTAGTGTAAAATCTTACTTGTAATGATATTTTTAATAAAAGAAAGATTATTACAAATGATGCCAATATTATTATTGGTACTAATTTTGTTTTTTTTGTTATTTTTCTCATTAGTAGATAATTTATTGTAAGCTATTATTCAATTTTCTAAACATTCTTTTTCCTTACTGTTGCTTCTATAACATGCAAATATATGACCATTTATTTATTAATTATTTATTTAAACACACGAACATTGGTACAGGAAGGCACCAAATATATATATGCCAAACTTCGTCATTCGATTTGTGTGAGGGCTGGAACATTTCCCGGGAGCCCAGGCCGAAGCACATGGTTTCCTTAGGGGTCACTCCCCGAACTTTTGACCTAGAGGTCTAATCCACAAGGTAGTGGAGCAACGTTAGGAGATGCAGTCCCATGGTAGGCAATGGACAACGATAGGTTCATATGCCATTTGTTCCCTCAGGATCCTGGAGCACATTGATTGGAAATCGGGGTTTCCAATTCACCTTTGTAGATCCTCTGTGTCCATCAACCCCGTTAAAGCGCCAGGTATTCGCTTTTTGTCCTCTCAATTTCGTAAGCAATACTTCCGTCGCGAAATGGCAGTGATCAGGGCCTCCTTTACATAGGCTGTGTACGCGTAGCCATGTGAAAGCATTTCAAGAGGGAGAGCTGACTCTCCGCCAAGGCATCCCCATAAATATAGTGTTTCAAAGAGTTCAAAACAGTAAAATGCAATTGAAATGATTGTCAAGAAAATGTAGATCCATTATTTGCTTTGATTTCAGCCATCTAGAATTTCACACGGAGAAAATTGTTATAAATGAAATAGTGAAACTAAAAATGAGCTGGTAATCGGACGAAAGCAGAATACTGAAATGCTAACCACCATGTAAAATAGGGCTGGGATAAAGATTGAATGACTGGAATACTCAATGGTTCGTTTGATTCGTACTCAAAAGCGCGCAATCGAAAATGTAAGGTTTCTTATAATTGAATACATTTTCAACTTAACATTCTGTATTACATCATCACATTATGCAATATATTTAATAGTATTGATGACAAAGAAGTTATATCACTTCCATTTAACTCATCACTAATACATGTTTCTGTGAAATATATATGGCTTAGAAAATCACATTAAAATTCAGACTTAAAGTTGTAGCTGTAATATATCTTCTATATAACAAAGAAAATAAAAACCAAACATTCACCGATGTCATACTGTGTGATTTGTTTTATTTTTACCGTATATTCTAAAAAATCAAGGCAACATTTTGGTGACTAAATTATCTTAACCACCCCTCTATCCAGAAATATTTCTGATCACATTTCGTTTCAATTCATTAGCTACTGTTGATAATTGTTTACCATTCAGAGTAGCAGTGATATTGCTATAATGGGTTTTTTGAAGTTAAGATTGTGTGTATCGTTCTAAACAATACATACAATAGTTCGCGGTCTTGAAGCCTTTACGTAACAACGACCTTAAAAACACCGAGTTCCATCGTCAATCAAGGGATTTACGTTACAACATTTATTAGGAGGCCACTTTAGGTTTATTATATAGTTTTATTCGGCACAAGTTTCTCACCTCTAATTTTTACTTTTGGTAATGAGTAAAGGTTGGTTTCGACTTTAGTCTTAAGCATATATTTTGACAACTTTTATGACTAAAAATGGTTATGCGAATGAAAATTTCTTTCATCTGACTAGAGAAATAAACTCGACGCATGAAGGCAATGTCACTGATATCCGTTTGTTTCTAAATACGTGTTAATAATGGTAATCATGCATGTACCAAATCTATCCTTTGAATACCATTAAATAATTGGGAAAAATTACCTTGTAACGCGTTTCGGAAATTCTTTCTTGGAAACTATTTTAGCATCAGGAAACTCGATTCGCAATCTTATACTGCTTAATACGACTAGAACAAAGCTGTGTACTGCAAATACACTTGGAAACTAAACCATGCTTCAACTTTTTTGTCGTATATAAAATAACTTGAGTATACAAAAATATACTGGTAGTGTTCACCACTTAACGATTTATTGTAATCAAAATTCAGTCAAGTGAATAGTACGTTAAGGTAACTGGTCCGCTGATGAGAGCGAGTATCCTTAACTTATATCAGTAAGTGAAAGAATCCATCATAAAATGTCAAAATCATCATTGTATTGTATAAGATAAAAATGAATTATTGATGCATAAACTGAGAAACGAGTCAATGTCTTTTTGTTGTACATCTCTATTGGAACGTATTTCTTTAATCAACTGATTACATAAAAGTCTAACGCAAGCTACTAATAAAAACACAAACTGCCATATTATAACACCAGAGATATATTTTATCTAATATTCATATCAAACAAGATAATTACGGTATTTTTACCACCATGTGAACAATAATCTGAGGCATTTGGTAGTAAAAATTTATACGACCGAACTACTCAGATTCATGATTGCAGTTGTAGGAGTTTAAGGTGAAATTCAAAACTCAATAATGGACAGATGTAAATTGTTAGGAGCTAGATAAGAACTCATCAAAATTTCCACAACTTAGATGAAGAAAATTGATAAATATGATATGATTAACGTAAAAGAGTGAACTTGAGCGATCTCTCGAACAACGATGGGAAATTAATAAGTTTTTCGAGGAAGAATTCTAGAAAACTAATAGATTTAAAGTACAAAACACATTGACAGGATTTTCGGAGTTATCTGTTATTTTCTAGTTGGTATCATACTCAGTCGATGGGGGATTTCTGTTTTTTTATTATTAGGTGAACTTTCGACTGGTAAAATCGATGAATAGAATGCTGATCGATAGGTGGGCGCAATAATATATCATGTTCGAGCCATGATTACTCATGAGATCGTATAATTGACTTAAGCCTCAAATGATTAGACATAACCGACAAGATCACTGGTCAGATGATTGGTTTTTCATGTTACAAAAAACATGTTTGTATACGAAATATGGACACACAATAAACATGGTAAAATTCCTTAGGCGATTGGAAGAAATTGGCTTGTAGGCCGCTCATTCCTTAAACAATTAGAACCTGTCAGGTCTAGTCTTTGAACATTGTATCACAATCAGATTTGAGATATTATATACTATATTTTTGTGTGAAATCCATACTTTCATCATAAGTAATGTTAGCGATAAAAACCCTAACCATGATTCAAAACCCTTAACTCTTACCTTATAGTATTTTTATTTAATATTGTAAAGAATTTACACGAAAAGATCCATCAATCATGTCAAAACTCTATATTCTTGTCATTTTATTACTATTTTATCATAAATTACTTCAGAACTGAACACTTTACTTCATTGGCCGTATAGTTTACTTCCAGTCAGTATGTAATATAAAGCTTTAGAGTGTCTGTTCAACCCATATTTACAACTAACATAAAACTGAAAGCTTTAATGTGAATTATATTCACATTGTATGTCAGATAAGTGCCCTATTTAAATTCTATTCCAAACTCTAATATTACTATTAGCGAAAAAAATTTGAATTTCGTTACTGCTTTCTTGTGGAGTTAATGAAACAGTTGAATGAAAATTCTTACTCGTGAATGGGTTTCACCGGATTGTCACAAATGATAACCATAATCATATAACATTAATTCTACAACATCCAACCATCGTAAAACAGAAAAGAGAAGAAGAAAACGGATACGTACAAAAAAGTTTTAATATTTCATAAGGAATAAAATTGATTATAAGGATAAATTCTATTAGGTATTTTGTTTTCGTCAACTTAAAATACAAGTAAAATTACTTACGTCTATTAGTCCTCGTGGAGGAGCGTAGATCGCCCATCAGCACTATTCATCCAACCCTTCCATGAGCAATTCTTTCCAGTTATTTCCAGTTGTTATTCATCATTTTCATATATGCTTCTGTATCCCGACGTAATGTGTCCTCTGGCCTTCCTCTTTTCCCATTCCATCCACGATTCCAAGTTAGAACTTGCTTCGTGATGCAGTTTAGTGATTTCCGTAATATATGTCCCATCCAATTCCAAAGTATTTTTCTAACTTCCTCTTCAGCTGGAAGCTGGTTTGTTCTCTCCCACAGTAGGCTGTTGTGATGGTGTCCATTCAACGGACGTTTAGTATCTTGTGTAGACAATTGTTTATGAATACTAGTACCCTTTTGATGATGGTTATAGTAGTTCTCCACGTTTCATCTCCATAAAGTAGAACTAACTGTTTTGACATTCGTATTGAGGACTTCGACTTTGAGATTGTTGACAATTGTTTTGAGTTCCATATGTTCTTCAATTGTAGGAATACGGTCCTTGCTTTTCTAATCCTTGCCTTTACGTCTGCATCCGAACCTCCATGTTCATCGATGATGCTTCCCAGGTATGTGAAGGATTCTACATCTTCTAGAGTTTCGCCATCAAACGTGATTACAGTACTGTTCTCCGTGTTGTATTTGAGGATCTCGGTTTTCCCCTTGTGTATGTTGAGGCCTACTGATGCAGAGGCTGCCGCTACTACACTGTTTGTCTTGACCAGTAATTGTTGTTTTGTATGGAATAGGAGAACTAGATCATCTACGAAGTCCAAATCGTGTAGTCGATTCTAAGTTGTCCATTGTATTCCTTGCTTTTCCTTAACTGTCGAGGTCTTCATGATCCAGTCAAACCACAAGCAAAATATTTCAATATAAAGGCTAGATGAACGTATTTAATAAATACAAAAATATTTTTTAATATCAGTCATATTAATATATTTTCTATAAATAACATGATGCATAAAGCATCATGTTTGGAGATACATTCATAAATAATCGGACTTTTTATTCAGTCTACACAATTAGCTTTGTATACTTCTCATGTATGTTAACCAATATTTAATGGGTAATTTCTAATGATTTAATAATAATAAAATATGAAAGTTTTAATTGTATATACTAAATTATTCCTCATTTAAAGAAAACATTTTTAATAATAAGCCAATTTTTATTATATAACAATTAGTGGTATTTAATGTACATCAATTTGATGTGTGGACGAGAATGATAATGAATGGTTGTCTGCTTAGTCAAACATGTAGATAGCCTGACGGGTGTCAGATGAGTTATATAGTCCCCTATCCTTATTATTATGACTCACTTATTATTAACTGTTCATTGTTGTTGGATTGTGTCGAGTTTTTGGTGTGGAAATATATTTACCTTGTGGTCAGGCTAGTCATGTGTTCTTGATCTGAGTTGTGTTGACGTCCTGTAGAATAGACACTGGGAG